ATAGGGGTGGACTAGATTTGAGACTAGATCCAAGGGGCCGTATTTACCCTAATAGGGGTCGAAGTAAGATGTCCTCCATCTTAACAGTATTTTGACATTATTTCAAAATAACTGCTGGCTGAGTAGACGTGGACTAAGTTAGTTCGGAATAGTGCTAGTTATTTCAAAATAGTGTTGCAGTGTAGACGTACCCTAAGTTGCCACAGGACTCCTCCTTGTTTTTGCAGCTATGGACACACAAGGTGACCCCTCTGAGATGTTCCAAGGGTCACTATTGATTCTCCATCACTGGCCATTTTCAGACCAAGAGTGATACCTTTTCTAGAAGAGTTGGCCTAGGAACAATCCTGGGAATGTTCTCTGGCTTGTTTTACACAGGAGGTCAGACTAGATGATGTGGTCCCTTGGAACTGATGCACTCATACGACAACTCGTCACCTCCAACCACCATAACGTCCAAGACTTGATTTCCTCTTTTTGAATGGGACAAGTTGGCACTCCAATCAGGTGGCCCAACCATGCAGACACATCCCTCTTGCAAGAGTCCACATGTACAAATCTGGACAGCCAAGCTCTATAACGTGGTGTGGCGTTTTTACACCACTTCCTCAACTGTCGCCTCAGACTTATACATTGGTTTGCAAATAGACCCACATCAAAGGCATGTGTGTGAGTGAGAGAGGTGGGGGGGAGGACAGAACATGATTCACCTGAGTCCCTGGGAGCCAGCTCACTGCCCATCAGAATTTTCAGCTAGGTCCTCTGTCCTGCACAATGCGCTCACCAGCGCCACCCCGCTCCTCAGAACCAGCCAGCTGACTTTGCGAAGCCTACAAAGAACTGGTATTTTAATCGGTGAGTTTGCACAAGCAGGCGAGTTTGTACTTAGGTCAGCACGGAATTTCTCCCTTCAAGAGTCAGCGGGAAAACTAAACTCATCCCCCACAAACTCAGGAAAGCATTTAAGCAACACAGAACCGTCCCCCATCTTAAGCTACCAATCCCCTACTCTTGAGTGAAAAAGCCTTAAGCTGAGAGCTGCAACCGACCCGTATGCTCTGTGGGCCAGGCCCACAGGCTGGTGCCTAGCACACTAACCGGTGGGTTACCCACCTTCTCTGGAGAGAAGACACACATCCTCAGCCACTCTGCAGTTGGATTTGCCCCTGTTGTGCGATAGCCACCATCGTGACTACTCGTGGCAATTGGAGCAGGGCCTTTCAGAACTAAATATGGGAGTCTCTAGAGCTTTCCATGGAAATATAAAACCGATTAATGAAAGAAAAATGAGAGAGGAGAAGAGCCGGGGGGAGCTACGGGTCATGTTCCCTGAAGGATCTCCAATCACATTTGGCATCTGGTATTCTTTCACATGGTGGCAAGCACTGTTCCCTGTCAGCTGTGTGCTTGGGCAGCCACTCAAGAGAGATTCAAATGCTGCCCAGAGGATTTTCAGAGCACTCTCGGTAGATTTTTTGTTTCTACTGGTGGTGCACTGCTGCATGCGCGGCGGTGCACATACAAAATTTATTCTGTGCCTGGATGGAGAAGAGGGAACATTATGAGTCCGATTGTTTTAGGCACAGAAGCCAAACAGGCGACGCATAAGGAGAGCTGGTGGGGGGGGGAGAAAAACTGCTTGAAGCCTGCATGAATCAGTCTAGATCTGAGCAAGGGTCATTTCCAGTAAGTGTCAGCCCTGAACATCACTAAACTCTGCAGAAGCACACTTGAGCAAAAACATAGGTGCCCAGTACATGTAAGAAGGCTTAGATGGGTTTTTACTGGCCAGGCCACAAAGGAGAATAAATATCTCCCCAGAACCAAATCCATCAGAAGTAGGCAGTATTTGCGAGGTAGGCTTGGCTCTACAGCGGAGTCCGGGACTGTCCCATCGGTCTCTGTTTTGAAACCCACATCCCAGAAGAATATTTTCAAGGTCTTGCCTTACTGCTTATGAGTCTCCCCTCCTCCTGGCTGCCATCCTTGTTTTTACCTAATCTCAGTCCTCATCTCAGCCTGGCCAGTTACCCGGCCAGTGACACCACATGTGGCAGAATGTGACGTTGTTTTGTCACCCTGTCACCGTGCCAACGGTGCCAACGTCAGCTTCCCGTAGGAAAAACAGCCGTCATTTTGTTTGTGCAGACTGGCTGATCACGTTCACTTACGTGCCCTAAACAGCCATTGCTGTGGACTGTTTCTCTTTAACCCCCTCTGTGTGTCGGAAGGCGATCTGAGTTGTACATACAACATTGCAAACAAGTGGGGGGAGGGCAGTCCTTTTAATGGCCAAGGCTTCATGTTGGCCTCCCCCAGCCTCGGATCGCTCTTTTGCAGATTGCCAGGATGACTTCTGTGACGGGAGTGGTTTTGTTTAGATTCACATTTTTGAATTAGCGGGTGGTGCCACGTGGGAGAGTCCCCAAAGCTGGGTCGCAAGCTGTCCTATGCACCGATCGCCATGCCTGTTCCTTTCCGTGGGCTTGGACCAAGGCGGGGGAAGGAGTGTGCTCTCGCAGGGCACGCAAGGGATGAAATCATGCAGTCCTTACTCGGGCCACACTCCCATTGGCATTGGTGGGATTTCTGGCTGGATGAGGAAATGTTGCCGAGCGTGGCCAAGGAAAAAGACACCCCGAAAAGGCCGTTCTCACTGGGTAATTGCCACGCGGGCCCTGTTCTCTTCCTGCCCCAAGTTTTGACCTCGCAGTGCAAACATCTGCTCTCCCAGTCACGCCGGGTGCATCTGGTGAAGAGGGTTTTACCCACGGAAGATGTTGCCCAAATAAATCTGGTCGCTTCTAAGGCCACAGGACTCGGTGTTGTTTTCCCTTGTTGTTTGGGTCCCATCAATGGAAGAGTCAGAGAAGAGCGGAGAGAGCCGCTTCCATGCCACACGCGGCCGAGTACAGCACCTCTCCCTCCGTGGCTCTCAAAGCAGCCCACGTTCACGCATTACGTAGCTATCGCTTTTTTACTCCCTTACAAGTTATTCGAGCTCAATACCCAGCCTTGAGCACTGGCAAGGTCCAGACCGTGGGTTGGATGTTTTCATTCCCTGATTCGCTTGCAGCCGCCGTCTATATAAAGAACCTTGCCTTTCCCCGCTGCCTCCCAACCCGGCCATCAGGCCTGTGTGTCAGACGAGCCTTGGATCGCAGGGGTAGTCTGCATCACACTCCGGGGATGTTAGCCCCGCCAGGAGACACACCCGCTGGCTGATTGTCTCCCCCGTCCTTGCGATGGTTGACTGGGTCTCCAGAGCAAGGCTGATTCTGACAAAATCTTTCCGGGATGTGCACCCGCTGTACCTGCCTCGTCACCTTGCCTCTCCCCGGGTCTCCCAGAGCCCCTACTGGGCAGCGCCCGGAGACTGGCTGGAGCGCTGTCGTTTTCTGGCTTGTGTCTCTCCATCCATAGGGACACAGCCAGAGCTGACCTGGCCCAAGCATTGCACACCAGCACTTACCCTCGTGCATCATGTGCCGGGGGTCAGTGTCGCATGTGACCTGTCCACACCTCGGGGTTTGCCCTTGGAGCAACCGGCCAGGGTCCCTTTAAAACAGCCAGGGACGGCAGGCTCTGTCACGAGCCAAAAAGGACCGCCTCTCCCCCTGGAAAGTAGGCATGGATGGCTGGATGGACCACCGTCTCCAAAGCTGGGGAGATTGGCTCCCCTCTAGCAGCAGCCATGGCGTGCGGGGTGCACTTACCTGGCGCCCGGCTTGGCAAGATTTGCAGATGTGGAGGATGATGCAAACAACACCCGCAATAGGTCTACGCAGTGACTAGGCATGACCTCATGTCCATAATCCTCTCTAGCTCCCTCTTCTAGTTTCGCCTTCTCTCCCTCATGTCTCAGTTTCTTGCCTTGCCCAGGGCAACAAGACCTTCCCCCCACAGCTCCGGCAGGGCGGGAGATCCCCCTTTCCTCCAGTAGAGTGTCTGGGAAGCACCTCGGGGAGGAACAGGAGAGGGACGCTCGGAAGCCAACCCTGAGCTTATTTCCGGCTCCCGAGAGGCTCCCTGAAAAGCCCAGCAGAGCAGGCTGGAAATGAGGAGCCTTCTGAGGAGACTTAGCAGGCCCGGCGATGCCCAGCCTTTGCCCACCCCGGCGTGAAGGCGCTGGCTGCCGGTGCGCTTGCCTGAGGGTCGCGGAGCCCCTGCTGGGCTGCCTGGTCCCGGCCATGCTGGTCCTGAGCAGGCCCACTTGTGGGGGAAGCCCCTTCCAGATGCAGCGATGTGGGGCTGCCGAACTTGAGGGGATCGGTTCCAGAGCCCCGTCCTGACCACAATGGTAGCAGAGACCCTTTCACGCCACCTGCTGGTTCGACCGCAGCACCATCACCTCGTAACGCCTCCACTGTCCCCCACCACGTCAAGCAGACCCTCCTTCCCCCGTAGCGCTCTGTCTCAGACCCCTCTCGTGTCCTTCCCGTTCCACCACCAGCTCCTCCACCCCTCGCTTCACCCGCAGGGGGCCCACCGGGCAGCGGTTTGCTCCAGCACACGCCAAAAAAACACATTGCTTCTGCACCAGCCAGCAGTAGCGGGCTCAGAGGGCGTTTGAAAAAAGCACCCACCCCATTTCTCCCCCTCCCCGCTCCCGTCTGTCTCGCAATTCAAACAGAGGCTAGCGATGGTTCCGTGCACTGCTCCGAAAGCAAACACCATTCCCAGGACACTGGGGGCCTGTCTCCAATGAGGGCATCATGTTCATTTTAGCTGACCCCATCCAGGTGAAATGCCTCAGCTTCCATGCCTTCAGTCTAGTGTCCCCTCACTCCAAGAGCGCCTAAGTGAATTAGGTGCACACTTCCCACAGACGCCGGCGGCGGCCCTCCAAGAGCTTACGGGTTGGGAGGTCTGTTATCTCTGGTGTGAGGGATAATCTGTGTGCTCTCGCTAATGCATCGCGGCAAAGGTAGCCCAACACCAAGACAAAACGCTGGGCTGCCTTTTTGCCATCAGTAAAGGGCTGTGTCACTTCATTGCAGATGTGCCAAGCTCCTGGTGAAGTACGGCGCGATGGTCGAGCTGCCGAGCGAAGCGAGCCAGGAGACCCCACTTCACACAGCAGCGAGGCACGGCCTCTACGAGCACGCGCTCCTGTACTTGAGGTACGGCGCAAGCGTGGACAGGAAGAACAGCCAGGACGAAACGCCACTCAGCCTGGCTTGCGGGCAGGCCCAGGCACCGGCGGAGCAAGGCGACTACCTGCGGGTGTGCCGGCTGCTGGTTATGTACGGTGCCGAAGTGAATGCCGCTGACGAAGAGGAGAAGAGCCCGCTCCATAAGGCCTGCAAGAACGCCAACCTCGGCTTGGTCCAGTTTCTGCTGCAGAATAAAACCGACGTGAATGCCATCGATTACAACGGAGCCTCCCCCATGTCCTGCGTCCTACAGGCCGCAGCCTTCAAGCAGCAACAGAGGCCGCATCTCACAGTGCAGACGCTTATGGCCTTTGGGAAGGTACTGTCTCACAGGCTGGCTAGAGGCAGTCAGTCCGCCAGTTTAGCCACTGGAGAGGCTGTTCCAAGGGACCAGTAAAGGGTGACAGGAAGGTTGGATAACTGGTTGTTTGGTCCAAGCCAGGCCAATAATTGCTGAGGGCAATTAGCATTCCCGGGCTGTGTGTAAAAAGCATGAGGTGGCCTCAGGCAAGTTGCTCTAGCAGATAGGGGCTGGAGGAATTTAAAAACAGCAAATCGTGTTTAGCCACTGGAGAGGCTGTTCCAAGGGACCAGTAAAGGGTGACAGGAAGGTTGGATAACTGGTTGTTTGGTCCAAGCCAGGCCAATAATTGCTGAGGGCAATTAGCATTCCCGGGCTGTGTGTAAAAAGCATGAGGTGGCCTCAGGCAAGTTGCTCTAGCAGATAGGGGCTGGAGGAATTTAAAAACAGCAAATCGTCTAGCAGGTGTGGTTGCCTCATCTCCACAGAGCTCCCCCACAGGAACAGGTGAAATCCTGTGATGTTGCTCCCTGGCATTGGAAACGGTCCAGAAAAGAGCAACAAAAACTATGAGGGGTTGGAACAGGTGTCATATGAACAGAGATTAAAAACACTGGGACTTTTCAGCTTAGAAAAGAGAAGACTAACATGGGATATGATACGATTATGAGAGAGATGGAGAAAGTGAATAAGGAAAAGTTATTGACTTGTTCCCATAACATAAGAACTCAGGGTATGTCTACACTACCACCCTAGTTCAAACTAGGGTGTTTAATGTAGGCAACCGGAGTTGCAAATGAAGCCCGGGATTTGAATTTCCCGGGCTTCATTTGCATATTGCCGGGCGCCGCCATTTTTAAATGTCCGCTAGTTCGAACTCCGTGCCCGCGGCTACACGCGGCATGAACTAGGTAGTTCGGATTAGGCTTCCTATTCCGAACTACCGGTACACCTCGTTCCACAGTAACCTGTGCGATGCATCTCGCTCTGGGCTCACCCGCGCAGAGGCAGCTAGCTCTAAGCACCGCCAGGCCACAGCCACGTGGGAGTGTCCCGCTAGCAAACTCCGAGCTGGTGAGCAAATTCTCCAGATCAATCTCTCAGCCTGCGGCAGAACATGAGTGTCTTCCACAAAACATTAAACCAACAGGCCATGTCCGGCTGCTCCTTTCTGGGACGTTCCCTCCGAGCTGGGGGCCTGGGACAGGTGCCTGCCTGCTCCCAGTAAGTAGCTAAAGCTCTGCCCCTCATTTAGCTGCTTGTTGGCCTTAGATCTAAGAACCAGGTGACCTGCAGCTATGACCTCAACCCTGGGAGGCAGCTAATTAGTTCCACTGGGGACCGGAAGGGCCATCGCATTCGCGGACATAAACAAACCGTTCTGGGTCTGGGATGGAGGCCAGGTGAGGCTGTGCTATTTATCCCTCCGTGTGAAAACCTGTGATGTTGCTCCCTGGGGTAATGTCACTGAAGTCAGCGCAGTGATACTAAGGACGACGGTGTGCAGTGCGATTTTTTTTACCTGCCCAGCTCAGCACCAAATCACACAGAGGTGAATCACGCTCCGTGTATGTTTTTTGCCTTTTCGTTTGTGGCCTGGCCTTGCGAGGAGCTGCCTGCCTCTCAGGACAGGGCCTTAGAGTCACACAAGATGTTGCAAAAAAGGTCGGTGCTGCCTTCAAATCACATGCCTGGGCACATGAGGGCTCCTTGGGGACAGAGGGTAAACTTTTCAAAAAGGCAGGGGATCCCGTCTGGGTACGTTCATTACAGACAGTTTGCACGCTTGTTTCAGTGACCACAGAGGTTTCAATCCTAGGCTATGTCTACACTGCGGTTTTTTTGCAGAAGAGGATATGCAAATGGCGTGTTCATTTGCATATCTTCTTCCGATTCTTTTTGCGGAAGAGGTTTTGCCGCTAAAAAGCCCCGTGTAGACGGGAAGGAAAAAAATCTTTTTCGCAAGATCCTGTAAACCTCGATTTTTGAGGAATAAGGGATCTTGCGAAAAAGGGTTTTTTTCCGACTGCATTCTTCGCAAAAAGAATCAGAAGAAGATATGCAAATGAACATGCCATTTGCATATCCTCTTCCACACAAAAAATGCAGTGTAGACATAACCCTACTGAGACCATGCCATTGGCCCTAGACACCTAAGTCATTTGGGCACTTGTTAAAATGTTACCCAGGGCGCTTTGCTTTGGAAAAGGGCAGCTTGTTGATGTCCCGGGAAAGTGCCCAAATTCAAGGTGGCTTGAGTTGGGGCGAATCTTTCACGGTGACTCTGCTACCTGGAGTAATTAACATGAAAATGTGAATGAAATGTTTAAGGAGGATGAGTGTGTGAAGTCTGTAAGGGTATGTCTACACATCAAAGTTATTTCGGGACACCTCTGGTACCCCACGTCTTCACAAGCCACCCGCTATTTCAAAATATTTTTCAAAATAACGGGCGCGCTATTTCGGCATCCTGGTAACCCTCGTTCCACGAGGGTTAAGGGATGTCTCGAAATTGCACTTTATTTTGAAATTAGGTGCTGTGCAGACAGCACCAAATTTCAAAATAGCCTATTTCGAAATAAACTCAAAATAAGCTTCGCAATTTGTGTAGCACAAATTGCGCATTTTATTTCGAGTTTACAATGCAGTGTAGGCTACATCTACACTGCAAGCTTCTTGCACAAGAACTGTTTTGCGCCAGATTTCTTGTGCAAAAGTTCTTGCGCAAGAGCGTGTCCACACTACCATGTGCTTTTGTGCAAGAGCTGTGCTTTTGCGTAAGAGCGTCCATGGCAGTGTGGACGCTCTCTTGCGCAAAAAAGCTCTAATGGCCATTTTAGCCAAAGGGATATCTTGCACAAGAAATCCATGTTGCCTGTCCACACTGCCTTCTTGCGCAAGAACTCTTGTGAAAAAAGGCTTATTCCCCATGGGGAGAAGAATAACTCTTCTGCAAGAAGCCCTCTTTTCTGACACTGTACTGTAAATTTACTTGCACAAGAATGTGCGTGCAGTGTAGAAGCTCTGCAAGGTTTTGCACAAGAACAGCCGTTCTTGCGCAAGAAGCCTGCAGTGTAGACATAGTCTAAGAGTGGAAGGGGGAAAGGATTAGGATAGGCTGAAACTAGCTTTGCTGTGGAGGCTACTACTAGAGATTCCCTGGCCTGCCTGTCTGTCAGTCACAGAACCCTGGCCTATCAGTTTGCAATTTTGACCCTCACAGTAGTCTTGCTGTAGCTTGGCCTTGCATTGATTTTACTTCAAACCATAAAGAGAATATGACCCCGGCTTATCATGCACCATGTGTAAACACAATTGTGGTGCCTCCAATGAAAATAACACCACAACAAAAGCAAGCCTTCTCCAGGCTTTTTTCATATGAAGGCGATTTAGGGACTTGCTCCAGGGCAATTTCTTTGAGTATTGTTTGACCCCTCCCCAAGGACTGTCATTGATGGACCCACTGATCCTTTCATCTAGCGACATGCTGAAAAGGGAAACCTCCAGTCAGCCACATTGGGGTTTTGGAAAAGCCTCAGATCTGGGGATGGTTCAGCACCCCTTTGTGAAATCCCCTCATCTCCTCCCCTTTGGGTTCGTTCTAGGTGCTGAGGTCTTGTGCATCTGTGCCCGAGATCATCGAAATCCTCTTCAACTCCTACTCTCAAGTGCCCATCTCTGAGCAGTGGCTGGGGGCTATTCCAGAGGAAATATTTCAGGTAGGAAAATGGTGGGCTGGTGTCTTAGATATGCCCCTAGCCCAGGTGTGGCCAACCCACGGCTCGCGAACCACATGCGGCACTTCCACCCACCCCCATCATTGTGGCTTACGAAGCTGCCCCCGTGTCCCCTGAACACGGCCCACGCCTCCCAGCTCCCTTGTGCTCACTGGAGCAGAGGAGCTGTCCAGATCAAAATGGCGGATCCAATATGGTGGCCACAGCCGGGAGCCTGTTGAGGCCAAAAAACCTCCAAAAACTTTCTTAAAGGGCCAGTCCTTTTTTTTTCTCTACGACTTTTTGACCCAGCTCTTCGCGCTGGATCCAGGCTCTTCATCTGGAATGGGTTGGCCGCCCCTGCCCTAGCCAATGGCATCATTTGGCCTCCCAAGACACAGGCAGATATCTCACAGTGCCTGGGCCGCACCACCACGAGACTATGAGCCATATAACTTCCTTCCTGCCCCATTCCCACCATCCGAAAGGCTGCCTCTTACACCTCCCCTGTGCAGAGGTAAATAACCAGACCAGGAGCAAGGCCCACAAAAGCTCAGGATCCCGCTCCAAAACTGAAAACAGCCAAAAGGCACCAAGGACAAGTACCGTGCCCAGCCGACGGTGCAAAGGGAAAGGAGGGAAGTCCAAAAACGAATGTGACAAATTGCTAAAACTGACCTTAACAAGCATTTTTACTCTAGGAACGTGCTTTATACAGCAACCTCATTTTCATCATTGCAGCTGGGCATCGGATTTGCATCCATTCAAAACGTTTTACTCCTGGTTTACTCTCCTGTGAGGGCACAATACTGCCCGATGGGGTAACCCACCATGCTTTTGTGCCATCACTTTCCTGTGGGGCTGTGCTGATGACACAAAGAAATGTGTTGTGATGATCAAGGCAAATCCAGGCATGCGAAGCTATAAGCAAAAAGGACCAACTGCCGGCACCTAGGCTCCTTAACCTGGAAACAGGTTTCAATACCGATGTTACCCTGCTTAATTGAACCGTGCCATTGATTTTCAGCCTGACAAGTCTCTGTTTTGTCTAGCCAAAGCTGAATTCAGGGTTTACTCTCTCTTGCTTTACAGATGCACCTGCCCTTTTATGAATCCTTTTTCATGCTCTCCTGCACTCCTCGGAGTCTGCAACATTTGTGCCGTTGCACCATTCGGAAAAAGTTTGGCGGCAAATGCCACTACCTGATCCCCTTATTACCCGTGCCCAAACCCCTCCAAAACTACCTGCTGTTGGAACCCGAAGGAATACTGCTCTGAAGGCCTGTCCTTCCATTCTAACTGCTCCTCAGCACTCTTGACAATAGCTTTTGTTTGTGCCTTAAAAGTTAAGAATCTGTCATGTCCGTTACAAATGTTTTCAGGGATTTACGCTGCAATTTTCAAAGTTGCTTTCAGTTGAAATATTGTATAGAATTTTTTTAAGCACATTACATATTAAGGTTACACTGATCAATTGTCTAGATTGACGGGGGTTAACAAATGAGTAATAGCAGTTATAAGCCTATTACAGACATGAGTAGCATGTGTTATAAAATCTTAATTGAAGTCAATGAGATGACACACATGCATAACAGCCTAGTGATCAATGGCTCGATGTCAGGTTGGCGGTCGGTTTCTAGTGGAGTGCCCCAAGGATCGGTTCTAGGGCCGGTTTTGTTCAAAATCTTTATTAATGACCTGGATAAGGGGATGGATTGCACCCTCAGCAAGTTTGCAGATGACACTAAGTTAGGGGGAGAGGTAGATATGCTGGAGGGCAGGGATAGGGTCCAGAGTGACCTGGACAGATTAGAGGATTGGGCCACAAGAAATCTGATTAGGTTCAACAAGGACAAGTGTAGAGTCCTGCACTTGGGATGGAAGAAAACCCAAGCATTGTTACAGGCTGGGGACCAACTGGCTAAGTAGCAGTTCTGCAGAAAAGGACCTGCGGGTTACAGTGGATGAGAAGCTGGATATGAGTCAACAATGTGCCCGTGTAGCCAAGAAGGCTAATGGCATATTAGGTTGAATTAGGAGGAGCATTGCCAGCAGATGCAGAGAAGTGATTATTCCCCTTTGTTCGGCTCTGGTGAGGCCAGATCTGGAATACTGTGTCCAATTCTGGGCCCCCCACTATAGAAAGGATGTGGATGCATTGGCGAGGGTCCAGCGGAGGGTGACCAAAATGATTAGGGGGCTGGAGCGCATGACCTATGAGGAGAGACTGAGGGATTTGGGTTTGTTTAGTCTGCAGAAGAGAAGAGTGAGGGGGGGATTTGATAGAAGCCTTCAGCTTCCTGAAGGGAGGTTCCAAAGAGGATGGAGAGAGGCTGTTCTCAGTAGTGACAGATGGCAGAACAAGGAGCAATGGGCTCAAGTTACAGTGGGAGAGGTCTAAGTTTGGAGATTAGGAAAAACTATTTCCCTGGGAGGGTGGGGAAGCACTGGGATGGGTTACCTAGGGAGGTGGCGGACTCTCCATCCCTAGAGGTGTTTAAGTCTCGGCTTGACAAAGCCCTGGCCGGGTTGATTTAGTTGAGATTGGTCCTGCCTTGGGCAGGGGGCTGGACTTGATGACCTCCTGAGGTCTCTTCCAGCTCTATGGTTCTCTGATTCTATAACATTAAACGTGTATAAGCATCAGCAGGATTTAACCCATGAGCAGTCCTAATGATTTCAGTGGGGTTGCTCCCCGGATTTTAAGCATTTGTTAACAATTCAAATTTTCAAAGTTGCAGGAAATGATGGGGAAGGCAGACAATTAGCTAATGACAGTGGCTTTTAAAATTCAAAGTGCCCAAAGCTTTATAAACCACTAAAGCACAAACTGCCAACATCACATGCCAAAATATATAAAGCCTTAAATTAGGATCTCATCCCTGGTTTTACTCTTCATTCACTAGTCTATTCAACAAGCCTAGATCAAAACTTTACTTCACTGCAGGGTTTTTTGTCTCTAATAAGTCCTCAAGCAACATTTGTCTTACTTTGCCTATCTGTAAATTTTTATTATTATCAATGGAAATATTTTGATATCACTGTGTGTGTGTGTGGTAAAATCAGCGTTTATTGACATTGGCCAATCAAAATCGAATTCTTCCAAGCCTCAACAGAGACAAGCCCCTATTCGCATTTTAACTGTCCGTTAAAGAACAAAGCTGGCTACTCTACATACACACAGGAAGATTTTCTTTAAATGGCTCCATCCAACCTCTGGCAGCTTGCAGCATCTCCAAAGATGTTTTCAGGAGTTTTTAACTCTGCTCTGAGCAGGTCATGATGCACTGAAGCTAGTCACATGTTGGGTTTGGTAGCTAGGGCTACCATGTTCTACTCACGAGAGAACAGAATGGCCACAGAAATTAGGCCCAGATTTTGCGAAATATCTAACCACATGCCTGTCTGTAAGTACCCCAATCGTCCCCGCAATTCATAAGTGTCCATGACCTCAGGAGGAATCGCCCAAACCGCTGCCCATCATCCCCATTCTATCGGCACGCCTGCCACATGGTGTAGACGGAGCTTGGTCCTGCCTTGAGGGCGGGGGGCTGGACTCGATGACCTCTTGAGGTCCCTTCCAGTCCTATTATTCTATGATTCTATGATCTATAGCAATACCGAACTCTTTGGGGAACTACATTGAGTCTCCAGGATCTTGTTAAAGGTAAAAAATCCAACTGGTAGAGAGTGTTTGTTTTTGATGTGTAAGATTTTCTTACACTTTTGTAAAGGCTGATTATTTGGTTTTGGGGGGAGGGTATTTTGGGCTGGGTTTATCTGGAGGCGTGGAGAGGTTAGGCATAAAGGGTGTCTGCGCTCCATTCCACTGTATCAAGCCAGCAACGATAAGTCGAGTTTTCAGCCCCGTCTTATTTTCCAGATTCAACCCACACAGCTGCATATAGAAAAAAACATTTTGACTGCAGCATTTCACGCATCCTATTGGCCCTTTTTTACGGTCACATATATTCGCGTGGCAACTTCTCAGAGGGGCGTCCTCAATACAACCATACAGAGCTAAGCGCAGTGTTCAAAACATAATTCAGAATGAAAGCCCAGCACACGGCAGTAAATTGGCAGCCCAGCGTATAAGCCAATAGAACTTATCATGGGAAGGTAACCTGGCCTTCAAATATAAGAAACATGGTCTTCAAAATTTGTGCTTAGCAAGGAAAAAAGGAGGCTGACGTGGCCTGTAACTTTTCTGGTTTATTTCAAGCCCCCTGTTTTATCATCAAACTCCCCCTGTCCTGGTTGACCAGCACATCCAGAAGCCAATCGGTTCTCACCCCCGTCTCTTTAAATAGCTCTTCCCGTGTCATCAGTGCCAGGGAGAGAACGGGAAACCTGTGTTAGCTTCCAATCTACGGGCATCATCAGCCGCAGCAAAGCAGCAATGAGAAAGTGCCACACAGCTTTCTAAATCAGTGAGTTTCAAAGGAAGGGCCATGGCCCAGTACCAGGGCACCAGCAGGGATGCTAGGCAGGCTTCCTCCCCGTCCTGCCCTGCAGATCCTGCTGTGCCCCATAAGCAGCCAGAAGCTGATCCTGGTCCTAGAGGGGCTGGACAGGGCTCCCTGCGCTGCCTCCACCCTGGGCATTGGCTCTAGGCACCGGCGCCCGTGGGCGACAGCTGCACACAGAGACACTTGCGCGCCTCTACCTAGGAAGCAGACCAGCTGTTGGCCACTTCCGGGGTGCAGTGCCGCCCGCAGAGCCAGGACAGGCAGGAAGCTGCCTTAGCAACCCTCCCTGCAACACCACCCAGCCCCAAACCCTGAGCACCAACGCCCGCCCCCAGCCCTGAGCCTCTCCAAAGCCAAAGGCCCCCCCACCACCATGGAAAACATCTCATCTCTGTCCCACCCCAGACCTACCCAATAGCCCTCACTCTTTTCAAAGGATAGAATCCTAGAACACTAGGACTGGAAGGGACCTCGAGAGTCATCGAGTCCAGTCCCCTGCCCTCACGGCAGCACCAAGCACCATCTAGACCATCCCTGACAGGTGTCTGTCCAACCTGCTCTTAAATATCCCCAGCGATGGAGATTCCACAACCTCCCTGGGCAATTTATTCCAGTGTTTCACCACCCTGACAGGCTGGAAGTTTTTCCTAACGTCCAACCTAAACCTCCCTTGCGGCAGTTTCAGCCCTGTCCTATCCCCAGAGGCCAAGGAGAACCATTCTTCACCCTCCTCCTTGTGACACCCTTTTAGGTCCTTGAAAACAGCTCTCCTATTATGGTAGGTCGCGGGCATCAACAATTTTCTTCAAGTAGGTGGCGAGGAAAAAAAGTCTGACCCCCCCTATTCTAAACCCAGTGAAATTGCTGGTTGCTACGGTTTAAAGGGATCTTCCCTACAGCCTCCAGGTGGCGCCATGTGCACAACAGTCGTATTATTGGCCTCGCTAGCAGTAGTTCCCTACTTTCCATCCGAATTAAGGAGTTCCGTGTGGGGAGCGGATGGTTCTCTGTTGGAGGTGGATAGCAGTCTTGGGGGGCGTCTACACTGCACCCGTAGCTCAAAATCAGCTTCGTAATTGCACAGCTTTCTACGAGTTCATTTCAAAATAACATTTCGAAATTGGGCACTGTCTACACAGTGCCCAATTTCAAAATAGAGCACTGTCCCAAAACGTCCCTTACTCCTCGTGGAATGAGGTTTACAGGGATGTCGGAATAGAGAGTCCGTTATTTCGAACTAGCGGGCTTGCTCAAAAGACGCGGAATAGCTATTTCGGGATACCGGAAGTATCCGAAAATAGCGCTGCAGTGTAGACATACCCTTGGTTAGCCGTACTAGAATACAGCACAGTATTACCCAGCCCAAGCAAAGAGAAATTCAGTCATTCAAATATTGATTATTGGATTGTGCTAGCGCCTTCTCTGTACGAATCACGAACATTGTATCGGTTATGGCTTTGTCCATAAATGCAGTTCTCAGCTGCCTCTTTTTATCATGATGTTCTAATGACAGCATCCTTCTGCACCAGGCAGAATTATACACTTCCCTATGGGATGTAAGTACATAGGCGCTGGTTGTATTTTTTCAGGAGTCATCTTTAAGAATGGGCATTTCAGAACTACCGCAATCCTAACAGTCTTTGCTTAAGCACTCCACTAAAAAGCAAAGGAGACGATTTCTTTTGTAACGTAATTTGTAAGCAATAAACATGATTGAAAATGCAGGCTCTGCTGGTGCCTATGCTAAATGCAGTGGGTTTTTAACACTCTGGGTAATTACTCACGGGGGAGGCAGTTTTCTATCCATATTTCGTACCCATCTCTGAGCAAAGTTAGCAAATTTCCTAAGAACATTCTGAAATGCACATTGCAGGATTTTCCTACCAGCCCCTAGTTTTGATGCAGATGCTATGGGAAAGGATCATTTTTTTCATCAGCCAAAGACAGGAGGTCACATTAACTTATAATACAGAGACACATAAAAATGCGATTATGCCTGCTAAACAGAACACAGTAGGCTGCTAGTTAACACAATGAGATTTCTAGGAAGTGATGCATAAATTCTTCAAAAATGACACATTTTCCACGTTTCATTCCAATTAAATTACTGAGGCAGCTAACCCAGCAATGAGCACACAATGCAGTTGGGTAAAATGAGGGTTTTTCTGGTGGTGGGGTTTTGTGTGGAGGTTTTTTCTTC